CACTCTAAGCTCACGAGTACGTGCGCTGAAGCTACAAGCCACACTTAAAAGCGACAAGAGAGAGCTTCACGGATGCAAATATTTAAAAACAAATGAGAGTCTTTTCCCTGATTGTTTTACAAAGCGCGAGCACGGAGGAGAGTAAAAGCAAGAGACACTCGAGATATTCTGCCGTTTTCCCGATTGCGAGGAAAAGTGAAAGTATGTCAAGGGTCGGCCCCAATGTTGCCAGATCGCCACAGAGTACAGTCTGTCACTGCAAAAAAGTTGAAAGCTTATCGGAGGGTGACAATTAAACGCGGATTTTTGAGTCGAGGGAAAACTTGCGAGTGTTGGAGGACGCGGCAGGCGAAGGGTAGGAAGGGCTTGAGGCAACCGTTGATGGCCACTCCAGGAGATGATTGTCGAGAGTTGCGGAGATGCGACTCGCGCCAGGTGGAATCCGGGATGTCAGAGTGGACGACAATGAATGCTTTTTATTTGCACTCGGCTCCTGGCTTTGACTCCGAGTTTTGAGGACGTTGTGGCGTTTTAGTGTAAAATAATCACGCTTGATTATCCAACAGAATAATTGCCATCACTAGACCTAGTGCATTTTATTTAATAAAATGAAAGTACCGCCAACCTAACTCGAGAAAATGTCTCGGTGATTTATCAGGGTGTCTAGTTTTTTTTCGTTATGGGAAATCCTGATTTTTCCTAGATTTTTACTGCAAAAACCTGATTTCATAATTTTTCCAAATCCTGATCTTTTGCGGAGAAAAACTTTTTCTCCGAAATCGCATTGCTCAATTTATATATAGTCCCCAATAGGTTCAAGATGAAGTCTAACTGCAGAAACTGTCAGTAAAAATGTAAAGGTGCAGGTCTCAATACATCAAAACGACAGATTTGACAAAAACTCAAACTAGAGGCAACAGCACAGCCGTGCTGACGAAAAACGCAGTAAGGGCCTTCAATTGTTGCTAAACCTCAGATAAATGAAAATTTTTCAGTGAGAATCAGTGAATATTTTCCCTCCAGTTTTTCAGAGAATTTTGTTCGCAATCATACCTAAATAATCTGAAAATTTCAAGCGAAAAAATGTATACTTCTCGTAAAAATAAACACTTTATTGGAAAGAACTTGGCAACTCTCGAAGGCTCATACGGCGTTTTTCCTAAGCACGGCACAGTGCAGGCTCAGAAAAGTTTTGAAGGACGAAGAAAAAAAAGGATATTTATTCAATAAAGTACAAAAACAGGAGATGGAATAAGGGTCCGTGAAATCTCCCGACCCTTTCTCGGATCGTCGCGCTCAAATTCAATCATCGTCGAACCAAAGATAACAATCATACGCGTTGACCCTTGTGGAATTTTCAGTGGGAAACGGCTCCATCGCTTGACCCAACACGAAAACTGCTTTGAATACACACGGAGCATTCGAATCTTCGACTAACTCGAAAACGCAAGAATCCACTGGACGGAAACTTTAGAAGGGTCATTTCGGATTTACGCATGTACCGGGTTCGGTAAAAAGGAGCAAATCACATTCCAAAGTCACTAAAATTATGCTAGCATAGTTATAAACTTGAGGGAATGCCTAATGTGAGTCTACAACGTGCGTTGAGTGAGTATAAATTGATGTTGGGTTTTGCAATAAGGAACTTCAGTTTCCGGAAATGCATGAAAGCGCAAATCTGTAAATGGAGAGTAAAGGCACATACGTTGATTCTAAAATTAACTTGAAACAGCAGTTCCTCTTTGCACAACGTAATCCATTTCCTCGTCTCCCGGACGAAGGAACGGAACTCCATTCTGAGTTCGCCACATTGACTCAAACAATACATTTATTGTAAAAAAAATGTACCAGTCAAGGTATCCAAAATTTTCCTGATTTTTGCATGGGGTCTGTAGAAGGATCAGCGAAATTTTTAGTTGAGAATGCTAAAGATTCTCCTGGTTCATATGCAATTTGCGAGGGGAAATTGGACAACATTGAAATAGAGTTACGTTCTTTAGTAGGGGAAGGACGATTTGGTACACTGCTCAACACGTAGTTGAATAAAATCCAGGAGGAAGATGGGGTGAATGCTGTCGTGCTAAGGAAAAACGCCGATGAGCCTTCTGGTGTTGCCAAATTTCCTTCAATAAATCACGAATTTCCGGGAAAATTTGTAAACGTATTTCCTACAATTATTCAGAAAACTTTGTTCGCAATTTTACCTAAATTTCCTGAAAATTCCAAGGAAAAACATCCATGGCTTTCTTCAAGAATAAACATTTCATCGAGAAAAAGTTGGCAACTCTCTAATGTTCATACGGCGTTTTTCCTTAGCACGGCAGAATGTTGTCGCTCATTTATATCTCATGAAAACTGTCAGATCTCTAGTGGAGGATCTCTATCCGTCTCTGTTCGGGGAGGAGGGGAAAAAGGAGGCTTGAAACCTGGATGGCGTTCGGGTGAGTTGCGAGAGGTTTTCCGTGGCAACTCAGCGCGGGCCCGGAGACTTTCAACAGATTGAATTTCACCCTAAGCCAGGATCGTTCTTAGCTTGCCAAGATGAAGCGTGAAGTTTTCTCGCGGCTAAATAGGGACTAAGTGACGTGGAGAGTGACAGTCGGCCTTTTCCTCGGGCTCCCGCGAGACCGCGCGGCTCAATCACGTGACAGTCAAGATGCAGTATTCATAGAATATCCTCCGAATCGCCTCGTTGCCACCGCCCCGCCGCGCCGCGCCCTCATCAAAACGCGTCGTTTCCTTTGCTCCCTTTCCATTTTGGATTTATTTCCATTGCTGTATTAGGACCGAGTTTATCAAATAGGAACCAACCTTCATTTTTGAAAAAATTGAGTAAAAAACGTTTTTTATACCCGCTAGCTATATACTTTCTCCTGCCGAAAACTCAAAGTCGAAAAAAAAAAAAAAAATAGTTTAGCAGGGCAAGCACTACTTTTCAGTTTTTTTTTTTTGGTTTTTTTTTTTTCATTTTGGGAAATCCTGACAAAATCCTGATTTTTGACTGCTAAATCCTGATTTCATAACTTTTCCAAATCCAGATCAAATCCTGATTTTTTGCTGAGGAAAAATTAAAATTTCTGCAATAGCTCGACAAAAAAAAAATCCAATCGAACGGCCGACTTTTCTCAAATCCTGATTTTACGACCGATTTTTCCTCAAATCTTGATGAAATCGGAATCGAATCCTGATTGGCGTCAAATCCTTATAATATCGGGGAAATCCAGAAAATCCTGACGCTAGACAGCCTGGTTAGTGAAAAGAGGGGTTCAGGTTTATTTTCTAAATTGCGTCTTATAGGGGGCTAAAAATTCAGACTTCTTTTTCTCACTTTCAACATGACGTGTTATGGTTCCTTCCTAATAAACTCGGTCCGTTTGTAGTGGTGCTTCTAAGGCTACGTGAGCAGCACGTAAGATCACGCGCGCCATCGCGCCTTCAATTTTGCACATGCACCACGGGCATCCAATGAGCACGAATAGTTGTATCTCTGCGCCGTCATCAAAGAGCGTCGTTTCATGGAGCAATACAGTTATGTTACACGATGGCACCATGTTGTTTATAAAATGAGTCAGAAATAGTAATTCTTCTTTGCAAATTGTAGTCCAATTAAGATTGCGCAAAACTCAACTTTAGCCTTTCTTTCTTGGAAAATACACTGAGACTTGAATTGAGTAAAAAGAGACGGATCATATCTGGCAAAAGCGCGCAATGATATCGGCGTGAGTTTAAATATGAATCGCACCAATGCATTTTCTCAGCGGCGCTTCCCCCGCTTCTTCGAGACCTGTTGACTTTCTCGGGAGCACTCTAAAAAATGAGAAAAACTTAGACCGAAAAGCGGAAGGTATCAATTTAGGCCCGCGCAAAACTTGCTATTGGCCGCTCTCACATTACACTCGACATGCGGGAATCTGGTGCCAAGTTGGCATTATAAGGGAGTACTCCGGTCACATTTTCACTAATTTGGACGTATTTCTGTCAAACAGAACTAAGTGCATTAAAACATGAGCCCTGAGACGCATAAGAATATATGTATAATAGGGCGTCATAATGCACATAGTTCCGTTTGATAGAAATACGTCCAAGTTTTGATGCGAAGAGGCCACAAGTCGACCCAAATGAGAGAAAATTGTGATGTGATTCATTGCAATTATCCATGATGAATGACTGCATTGATGAGCACTCAATATACAATGAATCAATGGGTCAGTTGCACTGGTCACAGAATCTTGTTTTGATGCTTGATTCTTGTAGATCGGCTAAAAATTATACGATCCGCTCAAACAGCAACTTTCTACATTTAATATTAACCGAGATATCGCACTTGGAAAAATTAAGTTTAAGACGTCATCCACCGCGGCAGTGACACCTTTTGTTTCTTCCACCTTATTTTCACCCAAGCAAAAAATGATTCTGAGACCAGCGCAACTGATCCTCTCTTTAGTACTGTATGTAACACTAGAGCGGCCGAAGACATCCAAAAGCACAAATTCCTGAAGGTGCAAAATGACAATTTTCGCTGGTTCTGGCGTGGTAGTGATTCGGTTGCGCATGGTAGTGCGGTTTCAGAGATTTCAAGCATAATCCATCTAAGATTTCCAAAATGTCTATTTTCAATCAGATTTCAGTGAGTTTATGATATAAGTTTCAAATTATAATTGACGGATTTGGTCATAACGACTCGACAACTCAGCTATGCTGGATGCAAGCATTTCCCTTTTCTCGCATCCTTCCTATCTTCCTCTTGGCGAGTTTTCTCTTTTGCTTTTCTTTACATCCTCCTTTTATTTTAGGTTTGCGCTTTATGAAGACTATTGCACTTAAAATTTGGACGTTTGGCTGATGGATTTGTGCGCATACTGCCTACCGTTTTTGCACTTTCAGGAATTTGCACCATAAGAATGAGCGCTTTGGGAAAATTGCGCTCCCGGGAATTTGGAATTTTAGATAGTGTCCAGAGCGGCCTCTTGGCGAAGGTGGTGGAAATGATGTTTTCTTACCTGCAACTTCAAGTGTGGCGTTGTTGCTGGTGACCTGTCCGAGCTCGTTCTTGGCGACGCACCAGTAGACGCCGCTGTCGGAGTCCTTCTTCCCGTAGCGGGTCGAGAGGAAGAAGAGGGAGGTTCCGCGGTCGAGGACCATCCGCTGCGGCCCGGAGGAGCTGACCAGTTGCCCGTCCTTGTACCACTCGATCGAGGGCTCCGGCTTCCCGACCGCCTTGCAGTTGAGCGTCACCGGCTCCCCCTTCGTCACCGTCTTCGACGCCGGGTGCTCCGAGATCCGCGGCGCCTGCGAGTGGCTGTAGTCCATCCCTGAAACACAAATTTCAATCATCAGATCAATCCGCTTCACGCTGGACCACTGCATCAAGGACAAATTCAGAGACAAGAGACCCTCCACTAGTATCTTAGCCATTGTGGAAGCCTTTACTTTCGGGACTTCAGCACTCCACTGTTGACTTACCTACATGGTTGATGTTCAACAACGTGTTGGCAGTTTCGTTTTGCAAACAAGCCGAAAATGACCGACGTTTTGGAAACTTGTTTGGCTCATGACGTCATCCGAAGCTCATCATCGACCATGTAGGTAAGTCAACAGCCGAAAGTAGGGTGATGACTGTTGCTCCCTAGTAATTGTCCTTAAGGAATTGTTGAAACCCCGAAAGTAAAAGCTTCCACCTGTCGCTAGGAGGCCAGTGGAGGGTCTCTTGTCTCTGCACAAATTCAACACCGAAGAAAAAAAGTTCGATTATGTGAACCGAACGCTCGGTGTTCCACGTCGTCCCAAATATGCGGTTTGTCAAACTGAACTTCCGGTTTGTCAAACTGAACTTTCGGTTTGTCAAACTGAACTATCGACTGGTCACATTGAACTCTCGGTTTGTCAAACTGAACTCGGTTTGTGTAACCGAACGTTCGGCATATATGACCAAACTCTGTCAGTTTACTTCACTGCATAAGTTCGATTACACGAACCGACTCGGTTTGATAAACCGAAAAATAAGTTTGACAAACCGAATTAGTTGGAATGTTATGGAACGTTGGTGCATACAACCAAACTTTTTTTCAGCGAGGCTAAAATTATACTAAAGAACACAAGAAAATGGGCGACCAAGGCCAAAACAAACGAACAGAATAGCTGGGAGATGAAACAGCAGAAGGATGGGAGGAGCCTCGCAGTCGAGCAAGATATCCTTGTTTTAATTTGGAAAAACATCGGGCCATTAAAACACTTGCGCGGCATACTGTGAAATATAAATGACGAGAAAAACGTCGGGGAGGTGAGCGGACCAGGGTCGGCTGTTTTCCTGTGAAAAAGAGGGATACTGAGGACCAGGGCGCAGGGTCTTGGTCGGTGGGGCGAAGGGTCCACGATGAAAAATTGCTGTCGCCGCTCCCCGATGAGGCTGGAGCTCCGTTCCGAGGAGAAATTGGGGGTTAT